TATATATATATAAGATACATATAAGTCTTACATATATATGACATTTTATTAAGATATTTATAAAAATATAGCGAAACTGCATTAATGACTCGAAGAGAAAGAGAAATGATAATGTGGCCTTTCACAAATAGATTCAAAAAATTGATTTTTTTTTAAAAATAGTGTTTGATTACAAAATTAACAAAAAAGTAAGACATTTTAGAATGTAAACAAATAAATGTATATACGTACACATAACTTCTGTATATAAGCTGCTCAGTATTAAAAATCTCACTACTAAAATAGTACACATAAATAAATTATAAATTAACAACAATTATAAATTAAGTAGAACTATAATTGATTATCAAATAATTATTTTAATGCGAAAACCTCAAAAAAGAGGCCGTGAATAATCAATATGCACACAGAGTCATATTAGCAAAATGACATGCTATTATTTAAATGTATATAACTCAAAATATATACAATCATCGAATAAAATGTTAAATAACAAACACATACTCAAAAATACATATATTCATATGATAATACGCTCAAGTTTAAAAAAAAAAAATGAGGAAGTAGAGGTAATGCTATCTTAGAAATATTTCGAACTTGAAAACAAAAATGCGTTATAATAAGTGCTGACTAATGGTATATTAGTGTCGTGGTGTAATGGCAAAATGCGAACAAATAATTCTATAAATAACCATTAGAATTCGCTATATATAATAGCGAAAATAAGAGAGGTTATATCTACATTATCCATAATATTGAAGATGCGTTCCGAGTTACATGAAATGCACAATGTATCATTTTATCCTTTTATTAATTGATAAACAACAAGGACGAATGATGCGCTTTATGCGTCATATCACTCTAGGTGATATTATGGCCTTCTCCTCTACTTACGGGTTAATAATTCAATTTATTATCAGCTTTATTCGCACGGCGAGAACTATTGATTCCATTGTACGAGCTATCACTCTTCGCAAAACTGCGATCAAAAGACGGAGTTGTGTAGTAGGAACTTACATTGAAGGGTGATATAATTGTATGTTACGGGAAATAATTGCATAATGTCATAATTACAGTCATGCAATGCTGTGACATAAGGAATTGTTAATAACTATTCCCACAACTTGCCGAGTGACGAGTATTCACAAGAAATTGTCGATAATTTGTAGTCTTAGTGTTCCTGAAAATGGATGAACGAAAGAACATTTGGCAAAGCCGCTTTTATACAGTTCCTAGAGCGTATATGAGCTTAGTAGGAATATGGCCTTATCACAGGTTTCGCTACAGATGTTTTCTTTTTGTACCGATGTTTACGTTTTCCATCACCATTCTTATACCACAAGTACGTCACAAATTGTATCACTTGTCTTTCCTTTTTATCCTCCAACATACATCCAACATACTGGATATATAAATGTATGTTTTATATTATATTTTGTATTATATATTAATTAGATGATAATATATGTTTTAAATATGTTATATACTAATATATATATATATAAATGTAATGCATTCTATAATATTGACGTATAGTTGTTGTATCTTCTAATCGCTGCGGCGGATCTCGACGATGTATTCTCTTGCACACCATCGATGTGGATCACCATAATATTCAGCTTTAAATTAGGGTGGTTAATAATGAACAATAAGAAAGTATGTGACTATCGCATATTCAATGATGTGATTAACAAGAGAGAAATTTTGATGAAAAATTCTTGATGGAAAATTTAAGGATTGAATCTTTTAGCGAATATCTTATATTCTCACAAACTTCTATAAATAGACTGCCGACTTCGCCTCCATGTTTGAAGACAGCGCTGGGCAGCGCCATATTTGTGTTCACTCTCACATGTATAAATCGGATAATAATGCTGTGTTTTCATATAAATTCATGCGATACTCACAAATAGAACGCATACATATGCATATATGAACTGAAACAAGGATAGTTCGGAATTAGGTTTATCAAAAAGAATCAAGGGAGAATGGAGTGGAGAGTATTTCCCTTCTCTGATTGGATCCGCTACTTATAGTGCATTTCTGCAAATGTACATGTGTGTGTATGTATATGTCATACACAATATTAGTGCGGTACAATACTAGTGTATGCAGTATACCGTATGTTCCATCACGCTCCTACCATATCTCCTACTCACTTCAATAGTATACTACAAATGCCGGCTTCCGGGTGAATCCGCTCCATTCTCCCTCAATTCTCTCTGAGGTCTCCCGATTTATCTCTTTTTATATTGAGCAGTCTAGTTATAAAGGTCTGTACCTTAACGTGTAACACGTGTAGTTTTCTTCTTTTTTTTATATAGATGCAATTGAATTTTTAATTTCGGTACTACAATAATCAACATCGCGAAAAATACGGACGCATCTTGTATTTATAGTTGAAGACCTGTCTAAAAACAATAGAGGATGATTGGTTATCATTGAATACAGATGTAGAAAGAAACATTTTACAACGTCACACCGCATACGGACGATATATCACGCTAACATATGGAAGTATGTCATGGGAACTGCTTTAGAAGATATCACATTCTTTTTTTGAAAACCAAGCCAGAGCGATCTAATGCGTACTTTCTACCGATTTAATGCGTATGTCGTGTTTTTAGTCTTCATGCAGTTTGTAGGAATCCTTCTCATCTCAAAGTCGGTCGTGATAATGCTGCTAGAGGATACTTCGGATGCTACGATATCTTCTCTAGTGGCAGAAGCGAAACTGCCTCTTCGCGTGGAATATGGAGAAATGTTAAACCAATATTTATATCCGATAGCGGTACACTGTTATTTAGCCGTATTCTCCCATATCAGCATCACGATCGCAGTTGATTCTTGCTATATCGCTTTGATTCGGCACGCGTGCGGAATGTTCGCGATTGTTGGGTAAGAGTATCATACTCGCGATTAATAATTACAAATTGAAATATGATAAAAAAGATGAACATAAGCGATACCGCGTTCATTCCACTTACATTCTAATACTTCGTCATTCATTTTCGAATCCGCTTCGAACCCAGCCCTGATAAAAAAGTGGCTGGTTTCGATCTTGTCAAGAGTATTATTTTTTGAGCGGCTTTCCAGACACACATTGGAACACATTGGCAAAGACAGCAACGACAATTTCGACCTGAAACCCGACAAGGTAAAAGACGACAATTACAACAAAACTTTGGGGTGTCTGCGCAAGCATCTGCATGTGATACAGTGCGTGTTAATAACTTCATAATGAAATATATTGCACATCTTTAATCTCGTTTAATTGCGTTTAGTTTTTCGCAATTTCACAGATTCGCGGAACTGATTGAGTCTACGTTCACAAATATATTCCTAGTCAGCGTTTGCCTGAACATGATTGGAGGTAGTATGATCGGCATACAGGTATATAAGTTTCTGTTATTTCATAATAAAATTTTCATCAAAGAAAATTATGCAAATGAAAAAAAATCGATTTTTAACAAAAATAATTTATATTTAGCGAAAATTTTTAGAATTTCTGGAATCTATTAAACACGTATATTTCAGGTAGTCTTAAACTTAAATGATGCAAAGGATATCGTAGAACCATTTGCTATTTATATCGCGCAACTCATTCATCTCTTCCTACAATTCTGGCCAGCTCAATTTTTATTAGATTATAGTATCCTTCCTTATGAATCAATGTAAGAACATAATTTCTTTTAATAAAATTTTTTTTTTTGGACATGTAGTTAATAATCTTTCTATAATTTTTAAAAATTTATTTTAGAAACATATATTAGCAATACATTTTTTTTCACTTAGAATTACGCTCAAGTAATCTTGTTCCAAACTGTAGTTGCAGATCAAATTGGTATTACACTTCGGGAAGATGTCGAAAACTTCTTTTTTTAATCATGAATAGGAGTTTGTTACCGTGCAAAATAACTGCTGGTAAGATCGTGCCTTTGACTATTGAAAACTTCGGCAGGGTAAGCCAATTGCATCAATATATTCACTATTTTTATTTTCATAATTTCTTAATTTCTATGTCCAAAAAAAATTTTAATTTCACTCTTTTCAAAGGTTCTAAAAACAATGATGTCTTATTTCACGATGCTACGTTCCTTTAAATGACGACTTCAACTATTTTTCTGCAATTTTTATAAAACTTATGTAGCTATTTACGTATAATTTGCCATGATAGTTTCAGCAAGATTGTGACAGATTTGAGTTAATTTAAAAGTATCAAAAATGATAAAATATTAACGGTAACAAATCTTATATCTTTTCAGTGTCGTTCGTATTACTTACACAATAATGAGTCTTTCTGGTGTTGATTTTTTATTACTTTCCAACTTTTATTTTCTTGGAATTGATTAACGATCTAATGTTACAGTTTTCCATTTGTAA